TATGTTAGCACAAATTAAGCACTCACCAAAAATCACACTTGAGAAAATTTAGCAATGTAGCTCACAAGTGTGTTACAAAGAATTTGACAATTTTTGCTCTAAAACTCTATTGATGTTGGTTTAATCTTGCAATTAACTTTTTATTGTTCTCCATTTCAATATTGGTCTCTTTTATGTCTTCTAACATCAATATAGCCGTTTGGAGTCGTTGGGGTGAGCCGTTGGAATCATTAATATTGAGCATTTAATTTTCACATGCACGTTTGGTATCGATACAAGGATACTGGTATCGAGTCCGAGCATCCTAACGGTCAAATTTATAGTCGTTGAACCCTTGGTTTTAATACTATTTGAATGAGTATCAATACTCAACCACCGATCTCGATAATAGGACCATGGTCTCAAGACCGAAAATCCTTCTGGTATTTTGGTATCGAGACTAACACACTAGTCTCGAGATTGGGATGGGTTTCGGCTAAAATCCAAATGTTTTGAGCTTTAAAACAAAACTTATTATTTTTGAAATTACTCAAGAACACTTATGATTATTTTTCATGCTTAAAAACACTTTAAATTCATTTATGAAAAATTACTTATAGAATTGTGAAATGCAAATTTTAACAATTTAAATCATTTAAAAATTCATGTTATATCAAAATCAAAAGTTAGTTCAACAACTTAGTTGTGTATTGATGCAAGAAAGGAAAATGGTAGCCTATGCATCCCGCCAATTCAAGCCTTACGAGCGTAATCACCCCACCCACGATTTAGAGCTTGCAGCAGTAGTTTTCAACTCAAGATTTGAGGACACTACCTTTTTGGCAAGAAGTGTCACGTCTTCACTAACCATAAAAGTCTCAAATACCTACGTACCTAGAAGGAACTGAAGTTAAGATATTGAAAGTGGGTTGAGTTGTTGAAGGACTATGATTGTGAATCAACTACCACCCAAGAAAGGCAAACACTGTTAGCACGCTTGAGTTTATCTAGTGATGGTGGAATTTTAGCCAAATTACGAGTAGAACCCGATTTAGTGAACAAGGTAAAAAGGTTATAGAGTTTCAAAAGTCACCTTGGGCTCGCATTGACCTTACCCCCAGAGTTGGAACGCATCTACAAAATTTTCCACGTATCTATGTTTAGGAGGTACCGTTCTGACCCCTCTCACATTATACCCTTAGAACAGATCGAGGTAAGATAAGACATTACCTATGTGGAAGAGCCAATAAGGATCTTAGTGAGGGATATGAAGGAGATAAAGAACAAGATGATTTCTCTAGTGAAGGTAATTTGGAGGAACCATGGTGTCGAAGAAGCCACTTAGGAGACCGAAGAGGATATGCAACTTCAGTATCCACATAAATTTCGAGAACTAATTTCTTATTATAAGGGGAGAGTTGTAACGCCTCATATCCCAGGTTAGGAGTTATGGGTTAACCCAAGAACAACCTAGATAAGCCTATGAGTATTATAGGAGTGATAAAATCATTTATAATTTGGATTGGACTTGGTTGGGGGTCCAATTGATTCCAAAAAGGATATTTTTATTTTGAGGATGAAAGTTGAAGGACTAAAAGTGTCATTATACCCTTGTTTAAAAAAAGTAAAAAACCCATTTATTTTGGGTGATCTCACGCTTGAACCACTCCCCCTCTTTGTCTCCACTAACTTTGTCATTTCCTTATCCTTCATATTTTCTTTCTCCTTCATAGAAGCTAAGAGAAAATAAAAACTTTGTAGTCCTTCAAGCCTAGTTCAATAATTCTAGGGTAAGAAAATAAATCTCTATATCAAGAGCTTCAAATCAAGCCCTTACATGAAAATTTGGCCATAGTCCATAAAATGAGTTTTAGAGGGGGTTTAAGAGTCCAAGTGTTTTCCTAGGTCTTTTTTTTAGTGGATTTAAGTAGGAAATGTCTTCAATTTAAATCCAATATTCTAAATGAGTTAGTAACCCGTTTACTTTGTCCTTGATTAGTGAAAAAAGTGGGAGAAAGTTCCAAGGCAAGAGGTAAAGAGAAGTTAACCCTTTATTGATTTGAGGGAGTTTTCAGCATCTAAGAAGTTAAGGTAACACATTTATAACTCTTTCAAACCATTTGTGAATCATTAGATTGCTTCTAGCAAAAAGTTAAGTTCTAGAGCATTCATGGTAGATTCATGAATTTGGTTTTTCTTTCATGTTTTAAAAACCTATTATGATCCCTTACTTAATACAAAAGACTTTAATAATGATTGGATACCTAAGTAGGGCATTTTGTGTAATTTTTGGAGTGAAATTCGAGCCTAAGTAGGGCATTTCTAGGTTTGGGTATCAGTACTGGAAGAATAGTACCGTTATTGTTCTTGCGAGGAACAAAATAAAGGAATTTTAGTATAGAAGTATTGATACTCATTCATTGAGTATTGATACCATGGGTAGAGGATCGATACTCCCCATAGGAGTATTGATACCGATGTATTTTTCAAAACATTGAAGCAAATTTTGGTATCAATACCCATAGAGTATCAATACCTGAAGCTTTGGAGTATCGATATTGCCTTAGCAGTATCGATACTACTCACCATTGTTTAGTTTGTTTTAACCCTATATTATCGATACGTAGGAGTGAGTATCGGTTCCATTGGACATTTTTAGACAAGAAGTCCAACTGTATTAGAAGAAATATTGAGGGACCCCATAATACTAATATGCCATCAAATAATACTATAAGCAAGAACCATAATTGGTATGAATTATAGTTAGAAACAACATCAATTAGGGCAACATAAAACTAGCCTTGGTTATTGCTCGAGAAAATGACTAAGTCACTCGAGCTACTTTAGAAGAGGAAATTAGAAACGAAGTATAGAATGTTCGGATATCCTTAGGTAGTGCGTGAGGCAGTTTGAGACTAACAAGGGCGCAATGCCCGAATAGCTGCAAGGGGTGGGTTAATTGGGTGTTGTGTCTGACGTAGACACCTCAGACCACGTCCTTGGTGAACTAGAGGGGTGTTAGTCCAGAGATGTGTAACCCTTCGACCAGACCATGATGTCTACCTAAGAATAGTGTATAGTATACAAGTATACTCACCCATTAACGAGCAGTTTTAGTATGGTTTAGTTGTTATTTTGTCATTAGGCTAGTGAGCTCGGTGTTCAGAATTTGTTTCTCTACGTAGGTTGTTATAAGGAGCATTCAGGGATCCTATAACACAGAGGACGATCCAGACAATTCGAGCAGTAGTACGTCTCTAGTCACTTCTTTAGAGGGCATGTATTATTCATAGACCTTTGTGTATTTAAGTCGTAACTCTATTGTTAAATATTCGATTGTATTATTTTTTATATACTTATTTTGAGAGCTCCCAATGTAAACCTTGTTTGAAATTATATTGGTTTCCTTTAATTGAATGGTTTTTAATTGTATGATTTCCAAAGTATTTAAAGAATATTTTTTAGTTAGCCACTCTCGTAGTCCCGTGTGCCATATTGATCGGTCGACTTTGTGTCGTATCAGATCAGGGTGTTACACTATCAAAGTCAAGCATACTTGACAATGTTCTTTGTACCTCGCTCGACAAGTAAGACTTGGTTCAGGCATTCGTTTAAGTGATAGTACAACAATTAATTTAGTGAAGGACGACAATGCTGTTCGATTACAAGGGGATGTTGCAACCAAGGGAGCTTAACAAATCTTGCCTTATGTTAATGTTTGATTACTTATTTTGGAATAGTTAGGGCGTCGGTAGCCCATTATATCGATTTTATGTCAAACTCTTATTTAAGGAACTTATCCTGTTTTTGTAGCTTTGTTGGAAAGTAGAGTGAGTGCGATTAAGGTCGATGAAGTTATCCGAAAATTTGGTTTTCCTAATTCCTTTTGGGTTGAAGCTCAAGGATTTGGTGGAGGAATTTAGCTTTTATGGTCTGACGAGATTAGGGTATATATTCTTAGCATTTCATGTCAATTTATTCATTCTCTCATATAGGTGGTATGAACAACGAGATCTTTCTATGTGACTGTTGTTTACGCTAGTCCAAACATCTCTATCCGGAATGAGGTATGGGAAGTTCTTGAGGAACTCAATCCCAGCGCATATGAACCTTGGATACTTGAAAGATATTTTAATGCTCTCTTACGACCAAGTGAACGTCGAGGAGGGGCTGCTAATCGGGATGGAATAAGTCAGGGCTTTTTCAAATTTTGTTCTTAGTTCGGCTCTATTAGAGGTTCCTTTCCAGGGACCAGAATTTACTTGGGCTCGGGGATCTATATACCAAAAGTTGGATAGGTGTCTTACGAATGATGCATGGCTGAATTTGCTTCCGAACTATGGTTTTCCACCTTAATCGTCTTGGATCGGATCAATGACCTATTTTACTAAGGATAAGGAAATGAAGAGTTCGAATGAAGAGAGCCCTTTCCACTTTATTTTTTCATGGCAAAGTCATCGGGAGTTTTCAAAGCTTCTCAAGTGTACATGGGTGGTGAATGAAGATGTTGAGTTAAATTTAATGAATTTGAAATGCAAGCTAGATGAGTGGAATAAGTTAATCTTTGGCTCGATTGGAAAATGTAAATACGAGATTTTGGCTCATTTAAGAGGAATTAAGAAAGCTTTGATGCATAGACACTCTGATTTCTTGTCTGATTTAGAGGTCCAGATAAAGAGGGAATTAGAGATTGTGCTAAGCCAAGAGGAAAGTCTATGGATACAAAAATGCAGATGCAACTGGATGGTGCATGGGAATCGGAACACGAAATTCTTCCATGCTACTGCCTAATTGCGGTGTCAAAATATGATTGAGACTTAAATTGAAGGATGGATTGCCGCATATGGACCAAGAGGATCTTAGAAAGGATGCGATTTGATTTTATTCTTCTCTGTTTTCTAGCCAAAGCTCGTGTGGTTTTAATTATCATTTAAGAGGTCGGTATCCAGAACCCCAAGGAGATGTGATGGGTGTTTTAGCGGATCCAGTTTTTTATGAAGAAATTCGAAACACTGTTTGTTATGAATCCATCTAAATCTCCGGGGGTGGATGATTTTCATGCGTATTTCTTTCAAAGAAATTGGGAGGTGGTTGGAGATGGTGTTTGGTCAGTTCCAGTCAATAACCTTGATACTGTGTTATATAAGACTGTAATGAAGGTGACTGTGAATCATTTTAAAGCCTTTATATTGGATTAGGTGTCAGATAACCAAACTAGTTTTGTTCTTGGTAGAAGTATCGTAGATAACGTTATTATAGCTCAGGAGATTATGCATTCAATGCGACACAAAAAAGGAAAAAATGGGGTGAATGGCAATTAAAATTGATCTTGAAAAAGCTTACGACCGTTTGGAATGAAACTTTATTGAAGACACTTTGAGTGACATTGGTTGTCCTAAAGGTATTTGACAATTGATAGCGAGTTGTGTTTCAAAGGTTTCAACTCAAGTTCTTTGGAATGGTTCAAAGACCGAAAGTTTTAAACCAACTACAGAAGTTCGGAAAGGAGATCCGTTGTCACGTTATCTATTTTTCCTTTGTATGGAGAGGTTGGTTCATACAATTCAAGAGGCAGTTAATGATGGTAAGTGGAAGCCTATTCAACTAAATAAGAAAGGCTCGATGATTTCTTATCTATTTTTTGCGGACGACTTTGTCTTGTTCGCAGAGGCCTCTATAACTCAATTCTCAGTTATTCAACAGATTTTACTAGATTTTTGCAAATATTCTAGACAAAAGGTAGGTCTTGTAAAAACAAGCATCTTCTTTTCAAATAATGAACAGTTGATTACCAGGACTAATATTAGTAACATGTTCCAATTTTCCCCTGTTGATAATTTGGGGAGATATCTTGGTGTTCCACTCCACCAGCGTGTTACATATGGAACATATAATTATTTGGTTCAGAAAGTCAGGGATAGATTGTCGGGTAGACGTGCAAAGACTTTATCTCTAGCAGGGAGAATTGTTATGGTTAAATCTGTGTTGTTCTCGCTTCCTTCATATGTGATGCAAACTTGTTATTTACCAAAAAAACAATATACTATAATATAGAGCAATTAATTCGTAATTTCATTTGGGGGCACTCAAATAAAAATCGTGGTATTAATTTGTTGTGTTGGGATGATGTTTGTCAATCAATGGATGAAGGTGGTTTTGAGATTAAGCGGATTCACGACCAAAACACAGCTTTTCTCATGAAATTGCGATATACATTGATAGCCAAAATCAACTATGGAGTCGGGTTGTCAGAGGAAAATATAAAGTGCTCGATTAAGTACAAAGGGACAAACAGATTGGTTTATTCCTGAGTTTATTACACTTGTCTTGGTATGGACGCTAGGTAATGGTCAATCTGTCGACTTTTGGAGAGACTCATGGCTCCGGCAGTTGGGTCCTTCGGAAAATGTTTGTTTGGATAATCAGCATAGTAAGTAGGACAATACACCTATTGCTTCGATGGCTTCTACACAAGGAGAATGGTAGTGGGCGGAACTTAACCCAAGGCTACCAAATTATGTCTAGTTGCAACTCGCGATTGTTAAACCTTCAAACCCAAATGGAGGTGAAGATCGGCCGGGATGGGTATGAGATAACAGAAGGCAATTCTTGGTCTCCAGTGCATATCGTACTCAACAGCCAAATGTAATAAACTCGGGAGATTTGATTTGGAAGGTCATAAACTGTTTTAAGGGGTCCCTCCGAGTTCGATTTCTGATGTGGCTTATATGTAAAGGAAAGCTGATGACTATTGAGGAATGAATTCGACGTCATACGACAGATGATGAAAGCTGCGGAATATTGTTCAATAAACATTAAATGTTCGTTTTAGTGGGATAATAAAAGGTCAAGAGTTTTTCTTGCTGAAAGGCCAAGGGTTGATACAGGAGATAGTGATCTTTTATGGTTTTTAATAGAATTTATTATTTTTCTGTTTTTGGAAGAGTAGTACCTAGTGTCTATATAAAGACCATGTTGATTTCATTTGAAAATAACTCAAATGAATACAAAAGTTAAAGCATTTTGAGCTCCTATTTCTCTCCACAGTAATGTTCAAATATGCTTCAAAAAGTTAAATATTTCAAGTGGGTTCTATTAGAGAGAGTTGAAAATCACTTGGAAACAATACAACATTTGTGGGTTAATTTGATTTATGTTTTACAAATTGGCTTCAAAACCAATGGCAAATGTGACGGGTCAAATGTCACTACCACGACTAACGAATGTGAACTCCGAGAACTGGAGCATTCAAATGAAAGCTCTTCTCAAATCTCAAGATGCATTGGAGGTGGTCGAAGAAGGATTTGAAGAACCAAAAACTACCACGGGATATATGGCGGCTCAAAACAAGGTGTTAAAAGAGGCACGATCGAATGATAAGGCGACAGTATACATGTTGTTCTGAGTCGTTGACGAGTCAGGCTTTGAGAAGATTGCTGGTGCAGTTACTCCAAAAGAAGCGTAGAAAATTTTAGGATAAGTTTTTAAAGGAGCCGACCGAGTCAAGAAAGTTCCTCTCCAAACTCTTCATGGTGAGTTGGAGAGCATGAAGATGAAGGAGTCGAAAAGTGTATCCTACTACATCACGTGTGTACAAGTCATGGTAAACCAACTCATTCGTAATGGCGAAGCGTTAACCGATGCACGATTTGTGGAGAAGATTTTGAGATCATTAATCGATAATTTTAAGAATGCTGTCTGGGCTATAGAAGAGTCAAAGGACCTTGTGACGCTCACAGTCGATGAGCTTGCCGATTCTCTCGAGGTACACGAACAACGTAAGAAGAAAGAGAAGGAGGAGATACTCGAGCAAGAACTTCAAATAAGGCGTCAATCAAAGATGAAAAGGTAATCTATTCTCAAAATTTTTGAGGTAGAGGACGTGGACTAGAAGGTTGTGCAAATGGTCGCGGTGGTCAAGGTGGCAGTCATGATTGGTACTGTAAGGAGAAGGGATAGGCAAGCCTACCAAATTGGCATGGAAGAGGGTGCGATTAATGAAGAGGTGACTGGTCAATCTATTCCAACATTGAGTGCTACAAGTGTTACAAGTATGGTTACTACTCGAAGGATTGAAACTCCGAAAATTGTTATAACTGTGGTAAAGTGGGGCATTTTGCAAAAGATTGTCGAGCCAATAAAAAGGTGGAAGAAACAACCAACCTAGCCTTAGAAGATGAAGCAAATAAAGGTTTTCTCTTGATGGCTCAAAATGAAGTCAACATCAACAATAACACTTTGTGGTACCTCGACTTGGACGCAAGCAACCGTATGTACGGTCACGAGTACCTATTCAAAGAGATGCAAAAGATTGATGATGGTTATGTGTCGTTTGGAGATGCATCAAAAGTTGAGGTTAAAGGCTGAGGTACGATTTGCTACTTACAAAAGGATGGCTTGATAGGGTCAATCCAAGATGTTTATTACATACCAGACCTCAATACCAACATTTGAAGTATGGGGCAACTCGCGGAGAAAGGTTAATCGGTACTCTTGAAAGACTGGGTATTTCACTTGAAGAACAAGTAGGGCGTCTAGTTACTCAAGTCGAGATGGGCAGAAATTGGATGTACAAAATAAATTTGAGAAGCGTACAAGCAAAATGTTGTCGAGTCAACGTAGAAGACAAGGCATCCCTGTGGAATCTCCACTTTGGTCACTTATATCATGGTGGTCTAAAAGAGTTAATAAAGAAGAACATGGCGCATCGGCTGCCAGATATGGATTATGAGGGAAAATTTTGTGAAGAATGCGTGCTTGGAAAGTAATCAATAACCTCGCTTCAAATAAAGGAAGAATATCGAGCTAAGCATCATGTCGATTTGATTCATACCGACATATACGAACCAATCATCCTCGAATCTTTTAGTATTAAAAAGTATTTCATTTTCTTTATCGATGATTTCTCACGAAAAACTTGGGTTCATTTTCTGAAAGAAAAATCTGAGGCATTTAAGGTGTTAAAAAAGTTCAATGTAATGGTGGAGAAGGCAACTGGTAGACACATCAAAGCCATACGATCTGATAGAGGTGGAAAGTATACTTCGAAGGCTTTCATGGAGTATTGTGAGGAGCAAGGCATAAGGAGATTTCTAACCACACCATACTCTCCTCAACAAAATGGTTTGACCGATAGGAAGAACCAGACCATTCTTGACATGGCTTGATCAATGCTCAAGTGCAAGAAGATGCCGAAGAAATTCTGGGTAGAAGTCGTGCAATGTGTCATCTATGTACAAAATCGATGTCCACATATGACGTTAGATATTCAAACACCACAAGGGGATGGAGCAGACAAAATTCGACAGTTTCTCATCTCAAAGTAATTTGTAGTGTTGCTTATACACATATACAGTATCAACAAAGAATGAAGCTCGAAGATAAAATCAAAAGGTATATTTTTATTAGGTATGATGAGAAGACAAAAGGTTACAAGCTACTCGATCCAATAAGCAAGAAGGTGATGGTGAGTCGTGATGTGCGAGTAAACGAAGTAAGTGAGTAGGACTGAAACAATTCGACAGAGGCTATCATCGAAGTTGTAGAATCATTAGTCACTGTACTAACAAGCATACCAACAAACTCTGAAACTATTGATGATGAAGATGAACCATGATAACCCAAAATGTGAAGTTTACAATATTTGTATGAATCGACAAATGAAGTACACATTGTATGTCTTTTGGCAGATGCTGAAAATATCAACTTTAAAGAGGTGTTGCAAGATAAGAAATAGAAAACTGCCATTAACTAGGAGATTAAGGCGACTGACCGCAACAACATATGGGAGCTAGCAGAATTATCAAAAGGAAGTCAGCCTATTGGTGTGAATTGGGTGCTCAAGAAAAAAATTAACGGTACAAGGCGAGACTTGTTGTGAAGGGATATGAGAAAAAGGTAAGAATCGGCTATGACGAGGTGTTTGCTTCTGTTGCAAGAATAGAGGCAATTCGAGTACTCGTTTTACAAGCTTCTCAATTCAAGTGGTTGACATTTCAAATGGATGTGAAGTTTGCATTCTTGAATGGTGTGCTCGAAGAAAATGTCTACATCGAACAACCACCCGGGTACATGAAAGTCGGAGAATAAAAGAAAGTGTTAAAATTGAAAAGGTTCTTTACTGGTTGAAGCAAGAACCACGTGCATGGAATATACGTAACGATACATATTAAAAGGAGAACAGGTTCAAGCAATGTCCTTAAGAGCATGCCCTTTATGTAAAGAAGAATGGTGGAAATGTGTTATTTATTGCTCTTTATGTCGATGGCCTCATTTTTATGGGTAACAATGATGAGATGATAGAAGAGTTTAAGGGCACAATGACACAATAATTTGATATGACAAATTTGGGCTTAATGAAGTTTTTTCTTAGTTTGGAGGTTATAAAGTAGAGACGGGTATTTTTGTATCATAAGAGACATATGCAAAAGGATATTTTGAAGAAGTACAAGATGGAAAATTGCAACTTGGTATCAACACCAATGGAACCGGGTGCAAAATTCTCGAAGTTTGATGAAGGGGAACGTGTCGATGTGAGTAGATATCAGAGTTTGGTTAGGAAGCCTTCTCTATCTCACATTCACAAGGTTGGATATTTCCTTAAGTGTCGCCATTGTAAGTTAGTTCATGGAGGAGTCAATTTATTCACATTGGAAGGCATTGAAGCGAATCCTATGGTACATCCAAGGAACAGTGTCACTCAGGTTATTCTACTCGAAAGCATATGATTACAAATTGGTTGGGTATTCCGACAGCGATTGGTGTGGATACATAGACAATCTGAAAAGCACATCGAGATATGTGTTTTTATGGGAGATATTGTGTTTACTTGGCTTTCAAAAAAGCAACCGATCATGACGCTCTCAACGTATGAATCTGAATATGTGACAGCATCTTGGTGTGTATGTCACGCGATCTGGCTTAGAAATTTGTTGAGCAAGATAGAGCAGAAGTAACTAGGTGCAACTGTGATTCATGTTGACAACAAATCAGTAATTAAGTTCACAAATAACTCAATGAACCATTAAAGAAACAAACACATCAATTTTCATTTTCACTTTATCTGAGATCATGTGAATAAAGGAAGTGCGTAATTGGTGCATGTGGTAAGTCAGGATCAAGTTCCAGATATCTTCACAAAACCGTTATTGAAAGTATTTCTCAACAAATGCTAAAATATGATTGGCATAAAGGATGGTAGAAGCTTTTAAGTTTATAAGGGAGTTTTGTTGAATAAACATTAAATGTTGTTTTTAGTGGGAAAATAAAAGGTCAAGAGTTTTTGTAGCTGAAAGGCCAAGGGGTGATTCAAAAGATAGTGGTCTTTTATGGTTTTTAATAGAATTTATTATTTTTTTTGTTTTTGGCAGAGTAGTACCTAGTATCTATATAAAGGCCATGTTGATTTCATTTCAAAACAACTCAGAGGAATACAAAAGTTAAAGCATTTTTAGCTTTTATTTCTCTTCAAAGTAGTGTTAATATATGCTTTAGAAAGTTAAATATTTCAAGTGGGCTCTATTAGAGAGAGTTAAAAATCACTTGGAAATAGTATAGTAGTGGTGGGTTAATTTGATTTCTGTTTTAAAATTATATGGGGTGAGGAAGGAATCGTTAGCTCATATTTTTAGAGAATGCTTGGTAGCACTA